GCCAAAATCCAGCCAGGCCAACCCAGTACAGAAAGCAGATCTAGGACTTTCATTTTTTATACCTACTTGGATTTACACAGAATTTGTGCAAATTACTTCTGGTTTCAAAACTGGCCAACGTTTATGATTTTCTTTATTACAATGTTAAGGTTTTGAGCACAGTAAGAAGTTATTTTTTATATGAAAGGTAGAAGATTCAAAGGATACCTTATCACCCTACAACAGCCTAATGTCTATTATTACTTAAAGTTAACATTCACCCAAAGAGCGAGAAAATATTAATTTGTATTTTAATTTTAAATCAAGATACTTGGATTCTGTTCTGGGGTTTTCTTTATTCGGTGGCGAAGGTGCTTAACAGCCGTCTGATGTAATTCTTCTCTGACAATGAAGATTAATATATTGTGTTTCTATAATTTCCCCGTTTTTTCCATTCAGATGCCATATCCTTTGGCTAAATAAACAACTTACATTTTGGTGCATGCAACACAGTGCAAAGGAGCTTTTACTGCCCTTAGAGCCACACTGCCAATTGTGTTGAAATATTTAACAGGAAAAAAAAATAGGAAGACTTTTGAAATAAGAGCTATCAGGATCAGTGCAAAAATACTATTTTAAAAAAGGAAGATGAACGATAAGCTTTTTTATTCCTTAGCTCTTTCTTCTGTGAGGAGCACATCAAAACCAAGAGGCTCAGTGATTAGACATTAGTAAAACTCCTATACCACATCTTAGAATTTAGACATGATTTTACTACAAAAGATGAAGACATTTCCAGCTCATTCTGAAACATCATTCATTAACAGTTGCTACATGAATGAGCATTTACAATATGAATGAACAGGATGATGAACAATATGAAGCAAGGATTTAAATCGTTCTGAGGACATACAGACAAGTATAACATAATAAGATAAGAATTATAAATGTTTATAATTATTACTTACCCATTTGTAATTCAGAGATGGTTTCCACCAATGACCAGTCTAAACTGTAACCGCAATGTGATTTGTCCATCAGATTGTCTAAAACTTGTCTCACTGTCTGCCTCTCATCCACCATCATAGTTTTTGAGCTGTCATCAGACATATGGACTCTGATCACCAACTATTAGGCAGAAAATTAGAAAAACAAGAAGGAGGATTCACTTCCAATTATTTCAAATAAACCCATGTTTTTTAAGATCTTATTTTTCTAAGATTTTGTTAAAATAGCATAAAATAATAAGTTCAATCAAAACACTCTCTCAAAATGCCAAAAGCCATAAATAATGGTTAGATATCTGCACTATGGACACTTAAAAAGATACTGTTCTCATTCATTATAAGCAGAGTAAACATAAAGGTCTTCCCAATACAATGACAATGTGCTTTAGTCCTGTGTAAAGGAGGAAGAAAATCCCTTCTGCCAAAGTGCCACGTTCTAATTAATAAAGTGTCTTTGTGGGAAATTTTTTCACACATCTAGGTGGAACAAACACAGATACAGAGTTCTGCACAACCTAACAAAGAATCAGAATCTTTCAGGTTTGCAGTTGAAGCCTGCTCCCTTCATATTTTCTAAAAATGCTGATTATGTAAACAATATACCTATACCAAATCTTCTTTTTCTGGTGACTATGACAACTTAGTGCAAAAGAAACTTGCTTTTAAAACACAACGGCTTTTCATAGGCACTTTAAAGAGGTCACAGTCCAGAAAGAAAAATGCAGTAGTTTTTTGAACCAACCAAAAAACAACAGATTCGTCTTGCCAAATGTTATGCTTCCTTTTTTACACTTGTTCAGCTGGAAAAAATAAAATGTACTAGTTGTAATGCATTGGCTGGCTTGTTAACGCCCATCTTCCAGCCGGGACGGTTTTTGATATATAAACACTAAATGTAAAAGGTATTTGAAGCTACTGAAAAAATCCAAACAAAATGAGAATGCTGAAGTTCAAGGGAACACTTTCTATTCTTTAATAGTGCAGCAAGCAATGTCACTAGACTTGCTCCACTTGGTAATCCCTGTCTGTAGTCTGGAATACTTGTATTTCATTTATCACTTGCAAATCCTGCCATGCCTAGCGGGAAGGGATCTGTAAAGAAAATAGACCCAAATTTTAAGTGTGCAACTGCTGTTGCTGTACAAAGATCATCTCAGGAGGTCGGACCTCCATTTCAGCTCTGGATGGAAGTTGGCAAAGTCTAGCACTAGTTTCAAAATAAGCTTCTCCTTAAGAAAAATATGATTGCATTCTTTGATTTTCTTGATTAGGTCCAGTTTAGATGAGAAAGTACATTATCACTCAAGATCAGCACACTACAGTGTTCCTATTTTATTTAGGGCAATTTAAGGTTAACAGACACAAATGAAAGAATCTTGTCTGCATTTTCCAGGTGAGTAAGTATAAAGTAAAGATCTTATAAACCGGTATAAATAAGTTACCTTTTTCACTTGTGCCTCTTTAATCTTCTCTAATGCAACCCTAATCTTCTCAGCTTTGACTTTAGCGGCCTGTTCCTCCTGGGGGGATACAAGACACAGAATTCCAGTTAACACAAACTTCAGTCTGGTTTTAGCGGATTTAATTTTGAGACTACCATGCTTTAAAATAGGAACTGAAATGCTGATTTACCCACTTATAATCCTCAACTATTTCTTAGCGATGATGAAGACTAATTTTTAAAGACAAAAAGAGTTACTAGATATATCTAACATTTAGAAACACAACTACCGTTACCTCCAAAGAACATACTGGAGGTATGTATTTTGTATAGACGTATTTGGCATTTCTTCCATGTTGTAAGTACCCTTGTGCATTACCAGCAAATATTTTAGCATATCACGTACTTATAGTCACAAATTTGGACAATACGTATTCAAAAGGAGTGTACAATTGAGTACACTCAATAGACTTTTTGGTTGATAAACACAAAGCATAAATAGCACACTGAGAAGCACCAGAATTTAACAGCACACAGAAGCTATGGAAAACAAATCCTATAAATAGGAGTCCACACTACATGCATTGGTCTGGAAGATTCTAACTTATTAAACTTGTTTGCAATAAAGGGAGTGTTCAAGCTGCTTACTTATCTTTACTAAATCCAGACTGCAGTTATCCTCACTTTAAGTATGTTAAAACACATAAAGCCAACAAGCACTCTTTTCT